TTTAGTTTCTTAATGTTGTTTGTATATCAAAAAGCTTAATCCATACTCAATGCATACTCAAAATCTAATTCAATTTTAATTTATGTCCACTATCCTCAATATTATCAATCTTATTAGATAATACCAACAAATCATTCTTACATATGACATCAAATTTAATTTAGGAAAAATTAGTAAATTACACTTTGTCTACTTAACTATCTGCCTTTTTACACTTTGCCCACTAAACTATTTTTTTTTTTTGCACTCAACCGGTATGAACATTGTATTTTTGTGCACTTACCCAATTCCGGCCGTCGGAGACACTTTAGAAGGGTATAATAGTCTTCTTACATAAAAAAACAAGGGGCAAAATCGTCACCACATACTAAAATTCCTTATTTAAATCTGAATCCCTAATTTCTCTGTTCATTTCCAACATTTGCAGAAGAGGTAAGAGAGAGAGAGAGAGAGCGACCACGCAATGTCGAACATAACGGCCTCCGAGGTGACCGGCAACGGCGATTTTTGCAGTTGTGGGAAAAGGGCCGTAATGAAGACCTCATGGACAGACCATAATCCGGGAAGAAGATATGCCGCCTGTTAAAAAATTCCGGTAATTTTAGGGTTTATGTGTGAATTTTTTTTCCTAATTTGTAGTGTGTGTTGTTCTATTGTAATTATTCAGACTATTAGAAATTACTTCTGTTGATGATTAATTTTGTTAATTTGCAACCTTAAAATTTTCTCCTAATTTGCAACCCTAGTTTTTAGTTTGTAGTCATAATTGAACTAATCTGCAGCCTTTATTCAACTTTGCTTTCCAATGAACTGATTGATAATCAGATCATTGGAGGAGGCAACCCTAATTTGCAGCCCTAAATTTTTTCCCCAATTTGCAACCTAAATTTTTTCCCTAATTTGCAACCCTCGATTTTCAATTGGTAACCCCAATTTTTTTCTTTAATTAATTTGCAATCCTTAATTGATTGATTGTGTTCAATTGGTTGATAATTATTCAGGGCAATGGAGGATGCAATTATTTCTCTTGGATTGACCCTCCAATGTGCCCGAGATGTCGACAAATAATTCCAGGGCTTCTGAAACGTGTTAATAGGCTTGAAGAAGAGTTGGTTACAAGGAAGTCTAGGGAGAAGTGGTTTTGGGGAATGCTGATTCTTTCTTGGTTGATCATGTTCTTTGTAAAATGGTGATTTATGTTAGTGGTTTATGTTTCAGTATGTTAGGATGGTTGTTGTTATTGGCTAAGTCCCATTTTCAATTTCTTGGTTGGAACTTATCTATTTGTTATGTTATGTTTTGTAAAGACATTTAGTCTAAGTCTATGTCCTATTATCTGTAACATTAGCCATTTGAGCTTAATGATTGAAAAAAATGTTTTGGTTTGTGCTTATGTACTTATGTGTGTGGGGAGATGGATTGGACATAACCAATCTATTAGAACAACAAATGAATACAAATCTTGGGCAAATGTATCAATAAAAAGAGTAAACAAAAATAACCAAATTGACAAAAGCATATTGAAATAAAATTCATTGAACTCCAAAGAAATGGCATGTTCAAATCATAATCTCTTACAAATTGACATACCAACACAAAAAAGGCATAATACTTTAACTGTCAATACCAACACCAAAAGACCACCTTAGAATATTCTATAATAGACATAACAACATCAAATCTCAATCTGTTTTAAACTAAATCAGTTCAAATCAAAATGACAAGCTCATAATGTCAATACATCACATTTGAAACTTGTTACAAACCAACCAAAGTCCAAACTACTATTCCAGATATAGCAAAAAACACACCCTCAGTTTTGAGAGTATGCAATCCTTTTTCTAGTGTAAAATCTCACACCATCAAGGATGCTGCTGCTTTTTGGAGGCCTTACAGGTTGTGTAAGAGCTTGTGGCTTTTCACTAACAACTCCTTGAAGCCTCAAACTCCTTTTCACGTGTAGCTTGGCTTTCACACCCTCATTTCCAACTATGATTGTTTCCTTTTTTTTTTCCCTACACATTTACAATAACAACATTGAATTAAACATTGATACATGTTTCTTTAGGGTAGTTCTTGACAGTAAATATCATACCTTTGTAATAAAAAAAGTAAAAAAAAATCCAGAGTTGGTTTTATGGTACTTGTTGAAAGAAAATGTCATACCTTTGTTGGCACTTGTGAGAGCACCCACAATGCTTTGGGTCTCTTTTTGCATATGTGGCAAATAAATAGACTTAAGTCCATAATGACATGGACAAACCCAAGCTAAAAAATCTAAAATCTATCCAATGCAAAACAAAAAAGTACTAGGTCTAGAATACTAAACAACCAATAAAAATATAGTAATAATAAATGCATACAAAAAAATGTGTTTTGCCTATTAAAAAGAAAAAAAAAATTATGAACAATTAATGACTAGGTGGGTTTGCACTTGGGTCCAAAATAGACCCAAGTGTGGAATTAGTCTCTTTTTTTAAGTGCCACATAAGTTAGACTAGGTCCACTTTTAATTGCATTGTGAAACATTTTTTTATAGACTAGGTCTATTTCCTACATGGCAATTATTTTTTTCTATGAGACCCAAAGCATTGTGGGTGCTCTGAGCATTCTCCAGCTTTGAAGTCTTTCTCATGCACAAAACCAAAAACCAAAAATAATGAAAGACACATATGGTTTAAGCTACTTCAGTTTAACTAACCAAAAACCAAAAAATAATGAATATGAAATTTTATACCTTTTGTAGCCTTCTCTCTGAGACTCCTTCAGCTCTTTGGGCTTTCTCCTACACATTAAAATTCAAAATTTATATTGTTACTTACTGATAAATGCTAAAAAAATAAAATATTGAGAAAAGAAAGAACATTAATTTTACCTTCAGTCTAGGACTCTTTCTTATCCTCAGCAAATCATTCCCTTCATCAATGGATTTGCTAGGACTATTTCTCATTCTCTGCAAATAAACCTGATATTAGTAAAGATACTACATGGCTAAATAAGTGACAACTTTAATATTCATTTATTCTAGCTTCTTTGATGTGGATTATGTTTGAACTGGAGCAGGCACATCAGTCCTTGTATTTTTGTGGCAACCCCTAGAAATTGCGGTTTGGTTGTTTGCAGATTGAACATCTCATTGTCACACCTTTCTTGCTCGGTCTCACCTGATTAGGTGCTGCATCATTTTCTTTTGATTGCTCACTAACATGCTTTCTATTCACCTCATCTTTTTCCATCTTCCTCTGATACTTCTTGAGTCTTCTTGGCATTTTTTTAATACTAGGTGGTAGCAATGGTGGAATATCCACTTCTGGCCATTCATTTTCTCCATTCAGTGCTCCCATAAAATGACTGTACACCCTTAAGTAAGTCTTCTTTTTGTAACAATTATCAACTAAATTCTCAGGATTTTTGCCTAAATAAAAGATGTCTGATATTGCATGGGGGCATGAAATCCCTGATAATTGCCACTTCCTACAAGTACAAGATTTCTCACCAAGATCAACCTTAAACCTACTCCAAGTCATGGTCTCTATTTCAAATTGATCCTTACCATTCCAATGTGCAATGAACTCCATACTAGTTTTCTTCATTTCATCAAGCAATCACTATCCTAGGACAAAGGTCCCCATGATGTTTGGTCATCTTGTCTATTTTCAGATGGATATTCTTCATTAAGTAAGTCCTAATCATTTCTAACATGGTTACAATGGACTCACCTCTTGCCTTCACAATGACAACATTGAAAGTCTCTGAGAGATTGTTCAAAATTGCATCACACTTTGAATGTGTGCTAAAATGAGGAAGAAAAAAAAAGCGGTTGGGTTATCAGTTTCACAAGATCATTCCCAGAATCCCTAAGGTCATTTGTTGCCATGCCCTCATCAATATCACCAACATAATTCAAAGGTTCATTAATATGAGGAAGAAAAGAAGAGGTTGGGTTATCAGTTTCACAAAGTTCAGACTTGTTTTTTGTAGTTTCATGTTCCACATATAAATCTACCATCCTACTATCATTCACCATTTTCCCCATTCTGAGTACATCACTATCATCATACAAGACAAGCAAATTATTGCAATCATTCACATCCCCTCGTGTGCAGTGAACTTGTTTCACTCCATTCACACCTAACTCTTCTAACATACTCATAATCTCAATTAAAGAAATTTCATCAGGATGGCAATGGTCAATATATGCAACTTCACCTGCCAATTAGTACTTATTGCCCAAATTAAAAAATTTCCCAGAATGATAAACTCTAATTGTGAGCATCTCAGATTGGAGACCTGTCGATAATAAGGAAAAAAATCAAAGAGAATGAGATTCGACATGTTTAACCCTTCTGCATACAAAAAAAAAAATAAAAAAATCTCATTTTTCTACCCACTGAACATATAAAGAATTAAAAACACAGGTTATCAATCTAATAGGAACAACGAATTAGAGCACACCATAGTCGTCCCAAAATCAAAATAAAAAACCAAAAAGAAGAACATATTTCGAACTCACCATAATCAGGGCAACAACTTCCAGACGGTATATCTTCATTATTGGGTGCACGTACTTTCCATGACATTGTTTAATAACTATTGCTACGCTTGAAAGATTTTGAAGAGAAGGAATTGTTTTTTTTTTGGAAATAGGGTTAGGGTAGAGAGAATTTGAGAATTTTTGAAATTGGGAACAATTTATTGTGAGGAAAGAACGGTTTTTAGGTTTTAATTAACAAAACAACTTGAAATGTCTGTTATGCCCCCATCTCCATGTCGTCCTTGCCACGTGTCGGGCTAATATGAACTCCGACAGCCGGAATTGGATAAGTGCACAAAAATGCAAAGTTCATACCGGTTGAGTGCAAAAAAAAAAATAATTTAGTGTGGGCAAAGTGTAAAAAAAGCGGACAGTTAAGTAGCCAAAGTGTAATTTTTCCTTTAATTTATTATCCATCAACTTATATAACTTTTACTAACTATCACTTTACATCATCTCCCTCATATTTTTACATCCAATCAATTTTAATTATTTATTTTAAATATTATTTTAATATAAAATAAATCTCATTAACAACTAATTATACTATTTTTTTAAAAAAATTAACTCTGATTAACTAAATGACTCATTTTGAGCGAGTATCTTTGTATACTGACATGCCCGTAGTGTTTGTGTATTTTATACGTTTTTGATTAGTTCA